AGCCCCGATGGGGCGAGGTGGGGTGGGGAGGACAATTGGTTACCTAATAACGAATCTCCGATTTATCTTCTGGTTGTTTTGCGGTCACCAAAGCAGCACAGAAGCATCTCGTCTTGTTGTCTCTCCTAAGACCCATCACACAAATGATCCAAACATGAAAACAAAAGCGACAAACAAAAATCAATACAATCTCTCTCCAAATGTACCGCTTTCGAGTTTTAAAGCTGAGCTTCCTTCCAGGAGGTGCCGCCCGGTCCCGGATCGATGTATTTTTATGCAGTAAATCTAACTACATTCAGTGAGACCTACGCTCAAGAAGGTGCGCGTCGGGTCGTCGAATAAATCTGGTATGGAGAGACCTCATACACACTTTCTTAGAGGTAACTAACACAGAATCCAGTCGAATTTACTATCAAATATTGCTGTCCTTAAACGGTTAGAATGTATACGGCATCCATCCTAGATAATTCCGGTTAAATCTAATAAGATTCCTCCAGAGTTGCGGATTGGGATCTGCGCAGGCACTACTAGCAGAAAACGGGGTACAGAATTGCGGTACCTTAGCGCAGCAATTATAGGAATGCTCTTCCTTCTTGTTCAAGGGAATTGCTGAACATCTCACAACCTCACTAGAATCCAATCATCGGTTAAGTGGTTTTTTCTCATATCTAGTGGCCAGATGCAAGGAGAAACCACTTAGCCAATTACTTCTGCGAAATTTAGTCCTATTTAATTTAACGTTAGGCTCCCATGTAGACACTTGGGCGCCCTTTATCACACTTTGGCACCGCTCGAAACGGCATTAAGTGTTCCATCTGTAAAGAAAACATCTCCCCCCACCCCAAACCGTATTCAAAACGAAAAGGAGATTTAAATATCACTGGCGTTTCTGCCTGTTTTTAACCCTTCGGCTCCACAGGAGTGGGAAAAAGTGACAGTCAAAGTCCCCAAGCCCACCCTCCGAGAGTTCCGGTCAATTCGGAATAGAAACCGGCGCGACCGGTGGCGGGTCCATCACGGACCGTTGGCCCGCCGTCGCCTTTCCACGCCCCGCTGACATGCTGTCCGGGAAAGCGACAGAGCGGTGGGCTTTGGCGGCGGGGCCAGCGGGAGCCCTTCGCCTCTTTCTCATCCCTTGATGGCTGTCCTCCGGGAAAGGAGCTGCTTCAAAATTACGCCGCGGGGTCTCGTCAACCTTTTGGAGGGTGGGGAGAAGTGGGGAGGAGAGGCACGTTGACGAGTGTGTTTCCCCTTTACCGCCATACTCAGGGACCCTCATTGCGCGCTGTGGACTCCTCTCGCCTGCCTCGCGGCTCTTCCAGCCAAAGCCAAAGCAATGAGAAACACACACACACACACACACACCCACAGAGAGAGAGAGAGAGAGAGCGCTCCGGAGGAGTCCCGGGGGAGCCCTGGACGCCGAGGCTCTTGGAGCTCTCGCTGAGGCAATCAACTTGATTGCATTTCTTATTTTTCTGCCAAGGGCATGTCTTCTCTCCCCCCCCCGCCTCCAGCGCCCCCTTCCCACTCCCGTTTCCCTTCCTCTCTTCTCTTTGAAACGATCACACTAGAAGCGCGGAAGGGATGAGTAGCCGGACGGCAAGGATGATCCCGGCAAGCCCTGGCCAGCTCGTCCCCTTCGGCTTGAGGGAAAACGTGGCCCGCTCCTCTTGCCCTTGCTGTGGAAACAGAACGAGCCGCTCGCGATTAGTCCTTTGGCCTGTAAGGGCAAGAGACCTCTCCCCGCTGCCCGCCCACGTGGGGACAGTAAATTGTACAGTATAGGAAGCCAATTACTTTAGGAATTTCCTCCGCAGAAGAAGGACGGTCCAGGAATCCTCTTAAGCAGCGCCATCAATGAAAGTGTGTGTGTGGGGGGGAGAAATATCCCCTCCTTCCCGAGTAATGATCGGGAGCGCACCTCGATTGGGTCGGCGCGCGGGGGGAAGCAGCTGGAGCGCTCTGCCCGCCGGGCAGGACGTGACCACTTCAGCCCAGGAACAGAAACAACTAGGGTGGGGGGCCCTCCCTGGCGATTTGGTCCTCCAAGGCCCATTAATCTTAGCCAGCAGAACTGGCGGTGAGGGATGATGGGACCGGCAGTTCCCCACTTAAAGGATGGAAAAAGGCAGGTGTGTGCGTAGGCTTTTGTTTATCCGAACCTGTTGATCACCGGTAGTGGGGCAACACGTCCCTTCACGGAGAGTACCCACTTCAGGGAGGTGTTCCCACCTGGCCTCCTCGCCTGCCCCCCCTCCCCACTCAGCCGGTCCTTCTGCCTCCTCCGCCAGCGCGGCCAAGCCAAACACCCTGGAGGGCGCAGGTGTCCGAGCGCCAGGCACGACTCAGCAGCTGCGAGACAATGACTAATAAACGTCCCTTGACGCGTGATGGATCGGGCTTCCCTCGCCAGCCAGGCGGCCGCTCGCGTCCCCAGAGGCTCCGGCGCCTCCGCCGCTGCT